ATTTTCTTGTAGTATATATCGTATGTTATGTATATATATTACCTTATATATTTTCTTGTAGTATATATTGTAAGTTCGGGGTTGAAATAAAGTTTGGGGGCCAAATGGCTATTTTCTAAACATCCAAACGGTCAAAATTGCAGCCCAAACGGCTACTTTTTAAATTTTGACCGTTGAAAATTTTTAATTTTTTTTTTAAAATAAAAACTAGCCGTTAGGCCCGGCCCAGGCCCGCCAGTCGGTCCCGGGCTTAGCGGTCCCGGGCTCATGTGCTTTCTAGGAAGAACAGGCCCGCTACGGGCTTTAAAGAACCGTTAAGACCGGCCCACCAGGCCCGTTAGGACTGCGGGCCCGACCCACAGTGCACCATTAGAGAGAGGTCTCTTATGTTTCTGTTTGGAGAAGATCCGGTATGGAGAAGAAAGGGGTCCTCTTGGTTACGCCGTTTTTATTAGCTTTTTAGAAAATGGGAATTGAAAACTTGNTAAGTCCCAACAAGAATGATAGAAAACTTGCTGCCGTTCTTAGCTTTTTTTTTTAATCTAGGTTTTTTGGAATTGAAAACTTAAGGGTAGGGTTTCTATAATTGGGTATTTTATATGGAAGTGGGAAAGGATGATGACAATTGGATTAGAAGGAAATAGATGGCTAGGATTAAATCTTGCACTTAAATGGGCTAATGGGTTGGGAAGAATGGGCTAAAGGTAATTGGGTTGGACCATGTCTTTTTTTGTGTTTCAATTTTGGGCTAAAAAGACTCTAAAATTTATTATTTAAAACCATAGATAAATTCCCTTAATATAAGATAATTATACTACATGATGCAAAACAAATTCTAATTACTTAAACCGTGAAACTATTACATATTTTTGTATTTTTCAAGATTATATAAAGATAAAAATAAGGTACTACTTTTTTGTATTTTTTTTACTTTATGAAAGGTACATAAAATAAAATATTTTTTTGTAATTTTTATCTTCTTGTAATAAAATAAAGTAAAAGAGTCAAATTAATTAAAATAGCTATATTAGGCCTAAATTAAATATTTACATGCTAAAATATAAAAAATCTTGGGGAGGGTCAAAAATCACATGTCTACAGGTACCGCAGATGCGGAAGGTGGACCGCATATGCGGATTAGCTTGGGCAGAAAAATCAAAAATCCGAGGGTTTAGTTCAAAAAGTTAGAAATTGATTTGGAGCTGGGGAGAGAGCAATTTTGGGAGGATTTTGAAGAGGAAATCAGTGGGTAACGATTCTTAATCCCTTTCTAGTTGTATTCCTATAATCTAACCTTAGTTTTGTCAATTTATTTCAGATTCGAGATGAAAATTGGGGAAAATTGTGAAGAAAGTTCTTAGACCTAGATTTTGAGTTTTGATTGGGAACTTGACATTAGATTTGGATAATATTGGTATGCATGAACTCGTGAGAGTATGAGGATTCTGAAAATGTAAATTTTACCCAATTCCGAGACGTGGGCCCGGAGGGCGATTTGGTTATTTTACCTAATTTCGCGTTCTAGCTTAGAATTTATTTATAGAATCAGTTACTTGAAGTGTTATTTACATTATGTAATTGAATTGAATAGATTTGGGCC